TTTTACTTTCTCAAAAAAACTCATTCTGTATGATTTATAAGCTTGTTTCCTCATGAGGACCTCAAAAATGTCCCCACAAGGTCAAAATGTACTAGTATTACTATCCTTGTGGGGACATTTGGTCCCCATAACGTGATAAATACCAGGTACACACACACACACACACACACACACACACACAGAGAGAAACAGAGCAGAGAGCAGAACATTTCAAAACATATCAACACTCATTTCAGTATTCCGAATTATTTTTAATAAATATTTTTTATACACACACACACACACACACACACACACACACAGAGAGTAACACGATTAAGAGCAGAACATTTCAAAACATATCAACACTCATTTCAGTATTCCGAATTATTTTTAATAATATATATATATTTTTTATTGTTCTACACTGGTGTGTCTGCATCGTTCTGCAAGTACACAGCCAAAAATGTGGTTTGCCAGTGTTGATTAAAGGTTTGCAAAATGTGTTTGAATTGGATTACAAATCTTACAAATGTTCTGAGTGTATCAATGTATAAATGTAAATGTGTTTTTATATGTGGCCTGTAGAGCTAAGATCTGCAAAAGGCCAGTCAAGAGACTGACAGGGGCATCAAAGCAGCATTATTTATCTGACCTGCAGGAAGTTTGAGAATTTATCCAAATATGATATTAATAAAAGATCAGATCTAACTCGTGCAGATTTTGATTCTACTAATTCTACTATGTACGATTATTATTTTTTAAAATCTAATTAATTACATTTTGTGACATGATGTGTCGATTATTCTAATTATTCAAATTTAATCATTCATCAATTTTGGCTGTGAAATTACCCTCCACAATATTAAAGTCATTATTGTGTTAAATGAGAAAAGCATTGAATAGACTTACACAAAGCAGATTTAAAAAGAAATACTTTGATTGGGGGAAAACAGCACACTTGCTAATAAACTATAACCTATGCTAAACCTGAAATGACCTGAAAGCGACACACTTAATTATGACTGGGAAGTGGGAAGTAGGACATTTCTGAAAGCATGTGAAGGCAGCATATACAAATACTTTTATGTCATTAGACTTTGTTACCGTTTTTATTAACCGCTGTGACTAACTGAGATATATTTAGTCAGAAATCCATAAAATCCTAAAGGCTCACAAAAACATTTACTACACCTCTACTAGAACTCTGTAATAAACGTTTTCATGACAATAGGCAAATTAAGTGCTGATATTGAAAAATGTATTGGCAGCATGAGTACGTTTTCTCACCGCATTAGCTGGAAATGCTCGTAACATGACTGCACTCAAGCCTTTGTAGAGAGCATGGGCTCCTTCCTCCCGTAACAGTGTTTTTAACACATCTCTCAAACCCCGATAACGCCTGTCTGTGGCTGCAGGACAGAGCACAGAGCGTTGTTTGCTTTTTCTAATCACTAACTACTACAAGTACTACATGCTTTTGATCTTAAGTGCAACCCACTAAAATTGGCACGCTTGGTAATTATGAACAAAACATACTGTGAAAAAATGTTACAACCTTTAATTGAAGTAAAATTCTTTTTAAAAATTTGATAAATAAACATATTATATATCATATATATATCATCTGATTAAAGTGTTACTTTACTTTATAAAAGCATACTTTGAGATCATGTTGATAACATGTTTATGCATTACTTTCAAGACATAAGTTTAACACGGCAAAAATAGACTACAATTAATTCATGTGCAATGTATCTGGTTGCCATGGCAACCTCAAGTCCTTTCTGTTTTTCTATGTATTTGTCACGAATCCGGTCTATGAACTTCCGTTCACTCACCACCAGAGGCTCACGACATGGACTCTCACACCACACAGACTGTTACACTATACCCTGGACTACATTTCCCATCATCCATTGCACTGATTGCACACAGCTGTAACCAATCACACGCTATAGTGGATATAGTGGAAGCTATTACACACACTATATAACATCCACCCAGATCCTGCTCTAGTCGCCGAGTTTTGTTTGCGCATATCACTGTGTTAGCGATAGCATTTTTACGGAGCCTTTCCGTGTTTTCTAGTCCAGTCTAGCCTAGTCTTGTATCTTAGTTTGTTTATCTCGTCTTGTCAGTCTGCTGCCTGCCCTGGAATTATCGCCTGTCTTGGATTAACCCCTTGTCTTGCCGTTTCAGACTCTGCTCGCCCCTCGTCTGGACTATTGTCTGTATGTTCGGATTATCCATCGCCTGTCTTGGATTAACCCCTTGTCTTGCCGTTTCGGACTCTGCTCGCCCCTCGTCTGGACTATTGTCTGTATGTTCGGATTATCCGTTTGCCTTGCCCCCTGGATTACGTTAGCCGTCGATCGACCCATGCTTGTTTACTGTACTGCTCTTGTGTCTTGCCCTCAATATACTGTACCTGTTTGCCAGTGTTCGACCCTGCCTGTGTATGACCATGTCTATGAATAAAGCTTTGCGTATGGATCTGCACGTTTCACGCTTCTGTCACTCCGTAACAGAAGTCATAGTAAAATCACTTGAATTTGATACAGAGAATTAATTTTTAGGTTTATAGAAAAATTAAAATGTGTTTAAAAGTGTGACTGACCAAATTGAGTAGCTAAGTTTGGCCACCCACCTAAACGATTTGTAAGGATTGCAGACGTTAGTTTGCAGAGGGTTGCCATGATTAAGCCTTCGATGTCATCATACAACAAAAGCACTAGCAGTTTGCCGAACATAACTGGGACTTTCATCGGGACCATTGGTATTTATGGTGTGACCAAAACAAAGTTTTTTTTTTTAAGGAAAAAAAAAACAAGAGGTGGGATTTGGTGGCCAATAATTGTGGCAGATATATTTTAAAAATGTGTTTTGTAATTTTTTCTTCAATAAAAAAAAAAAAAGTGTATTTTGAATGAAAGACCAATAAGATAAACAGCAAAGACATTTTTCCAAAGACAATTTGTTCATATTTACCAAGAGTACCTATATTAGTGAAGGGCACTGAAAGATACAAAAATAAAAGTTCAATTAAGGCTGCAATATGGAAGGTTAAACAAAATTCCATTATTGAGGAAGTACATGAAAATCTATGTTCACAACCACATTCTTGCAAATTCTGTAAGGCTAGCATCTTTTATTCGTATGTGTTTATGCCATTCCCGTAAATATAGAAAAGAAGGTCTATGTATACAGTGAAATCACCCACAGGAGGCGGGTTTATGTAGCAGTTTAGCCAATTGCTGTGAACATCTTCAAGACATGACATAAAATTTAGCCAATCAGCATCCTCAAATCTTGTCCGAAATGGGCGATTTCTCTGTCGCCTGAAACGAGCCACTGCTATAGTCTGGACTGGACTGTAGGTGCTGAATAAAGCAAACCAGTTTCTCGCTCGTAAAGTTTTGATGGATGACAACTGTAGTCAAGGTAAAGACGATTACAATTTCATACAGGATCGCACAACAGGCATGCGCGAATCTATTATTAATGTGAATCAAACCATATATGTGTGCTCTCTGCGCACTAATATCTTTTTGCACGAGCACATTTCAGTATGCTTGCATGTCTGATGAGTATTTTATATAGGATTTATATATATATATATATATATATATATATTTTTTTTTTTTTTTTTTTTTTTTT